AGCGACCCCAAAACCCGGGGCTGCGAGGCCTCGGGTCCGCCCTTCCCCGCCCGGGGAAACCGTCCAGCCTAGACCCCCCTGTACCGCGAGCCCCTTGCTCCTCCTCTGCCACCAGCCTCTGGGACCCGGCAGGGAGCTGCAGGCGGCTCTCAACCCCCCACTCCTCTCCTCTGTGGCGAAATAAACCCAGATCCCTCAGCCTCTCCTCGCAGGTCATGTGGTAGAACGGAGCCGCCTTAGTCTGGCGCAGCTGAAACAAAAGACAGGGCTGTGCAGCACTTTAAAGACTAAGATGGTTGAATAGGTGATGAGCTTTCGTGGGCCAGACCTGTAGCACTTTGGTAGATATGGTTGTGACAATTTTCTTCCACATTTTGATCTGAGGAAGTGGGTCTGGCCCACGAAAGCTCCTCACCTAATAAACCATCGTGTTAGTCTTTAAAGTGCTACATTGTCCTGGTTTTTCTTATAGGTCATGTGCTCCAGCCCCCTCAGCATTTTGGTCGCCCTCCACTGGACCCTCTCCAATGTGTCCACATCTTTCTATAGTGGAAGCCCAGAACTAAATGCAATACTCCAGATGTCACCTCACCAGTGCTGAATAAAGGGAATAATCACTTCTCTGGATCTGCTGGCAATGCTCCTCCTAATGCACCCTAATACGCCTTCAGTCTTCTTGGCTACAAGGGCTCCCTGTTGAGTCATATCCAGCTTCTCATCCACTGCAATCCCCAGGTCCTTTTCTGCAGAACTGCTGCTTAGCCAGTCAGTCCCCAGCCTGTAGCAGTGCTTGGGGTCCTTCCATCCCAAGGGCAGGACTCTGCACTTCTCCTTGTTGAACTTCTTCTTGTTTCTTTTAGTCCAAACCTCCAATTTGTCTAGGGTCGCTCTGGACCCTCTCCCTGCCCTCCAGTATATCTACCTCTCCCACTAGCTTAGTGTCATCCGCAAACTTGCTGAGTGAGCTAAATGGAGGGACTCAGGAAGTTCAGTCATCAGCAAGTGGGGGTCTCAATCCTTTTCTTTCTGAGCCCCTTTCCTCTTCCACCCTATAAAACCTCTGAGACCCACCTGGGCCACAAAAGGGAAGGTAACTCACCTGTGCAGTAACTGGAGTTCCTCAAGATGGTTGTTCCCGTGGGTGCAGCCACCCCCCCCTCCTCAGTTCCTTCTCTGACCCAGGTGTGTTGTACCTGAAGCAAAGGGGCAGAGGGTGAGTGTGAAGCACCCATGGGGTAAACCATCTCAAAGAACTCCAGTTACTGCACTGGTGAGTAACCTTCCCTTCTTCTTTGAGGAGTGTGTCCGTGGGTGCTCCACCTCAGGTGACTATGAAGCAGTATTCTTGTTAGGAGGTGGGAGCTTTGGCTGGTGAGGATCTGTGATGGACAGTATTGTTTGTCCACATCTTGTAGCAGTCTCAGAAAATGTTTGGAGTGCATAATGTTGTGTGACAGTATGCACTGAAGCCCATGTGGCGGCCCTGCATATGAGTTCTGTGGGCGCACTGTGTAGGAATGCTCTTGTAGCTGCCATGGCTCCTGTTGGGTGGGAACACACTGTATGTGGTGACTCCCTCTGTGCCAGGGCATATGCTAGTCTTATGCATCCAGATATCCATTTGGTAGTCTCTGTGATCGCTCTGTGGATGAACCGAAGAGCTGTGGGGTCTTTCTAAACGAGCTGGTTCATTGCAGGTAAAAGGCCAGGGCTCTACAGACGTTACGGGTATGGAGAGCTGCCTCTTTGACATCCTTATGGGATTTTGGAAAGAAAATGGGTAAGTATACAGAGTCATTGCAGTGGAACAAGTACTTTTGGGAGGAATTTCACAGTATCACCCTGTCCTTGTGGAATATTGTATAAGGGGGGGGGGGTCAGCCATTAAGGCTGCCATCTCCCCCACTCGTCTGGCTGAGGTGATTGCTACCAGGAAGGCCACCTTCATCGATAGGTGTAATAGCGAGCAGGTAGCGAGGGGCTCGAAGGGTTTCCCCATAAGAGCTTTCAGCACTAGGTTCAGGTCTCATGCGGGTCCTGGGTCCTGGCGTATGTAGTAATCAGAGGGCCTGACAATGGAGGCCTAGTGGGAGGCCGGAGGCCTGAACAACAGTCAGTGCTTTGCTACCAGAAAGCGGAGCTAAGCTGTGAGCAAAGGGCAGGTCCTGCTCACAGAGACTTGGCAAGGGCAGGGCAGGGCTGCTGCTATTACAGAAACACACACTAGGAGGCAGCAGGCACAGGCCATGTGCGTAAACATCCCAGGAGGATGGGAACAGGACATCTCGCTGCAGAAACAGCTCGGTACCAGTACGCTCCCCACAGAGAACAGGGACAGTGCGACCCGGGGCAGCACAGGCTCGGGGTGACAGCATGATGGACACTGCAAAGGGAGCTCTCCGACCAACCTGGGGGCGGGGGTGGACTAGGCACCTGAAACAACAGGTGTCATTGCCTAGACTTACAGAATGCACAGTGACTTAACTCTGACTAACCGCTGTTAATCTGTTATTTGGTAATAGGCCTGCTATGTCTTGGTACCTTGTCAACGCGGGCCATATGCATGGTTTAGCATTGAGAATTTCTCTAACAGCTGTTAGAGCCGTGGTCACCAACCGGTTGATCGCGAGGCGTTCGGCCCCTCCCACTTTCTCCCCACTCCCTAACTCCAGCAACAATGGAGGTAGTGCTGGTTTCCCGCGGGGTGGATGGAAGTCCTGCAGCTTCGCGCCACTTCCGGGGTTTCTGGAAGTGCGCTGGCTGCTCCCTTCCCACAGGTCTGTGGTGTGCCGGGCGCGCTGCGGGAAGGGATATTCCCCGCACCCCGGGAAGGGGGGAGTTGGCCCCGGGGGAGGCC